TACACCCTACTCCTACAATGCTACTTCTAGAAATACCCTTTCTCAAGCATTAGCATTTAATATCCAAGAAGAGATGTCAGGGTTCAAACCTTGGTAGATTTTGACCCAGATGTGCCTGCACTGTGGAGAGCCACGGTCAGACACACTCTGCTACAGCTCTGCAAATAAATTCCTCGCAGTTACGTAGTGGGATCTTCCTGGCATCATGAACTGTTTGTGGGACACAAGTAGGTCGCAAGAAAAAGAAATCTGTCTCTTACAAGAAATACTGTTCCTTTATTGCACAATGCTTAGAAAAATGTTATGAATTGCCATTATTTCTGACAGGGAAGGGAGGGAGGAAGAAAGACTAAACTTTGTAGAGATTTGGTGTATATTATTTATTCTGTACATCTGTACTTTCAATATTGTGGGGGACTGAAGCATGAATTTGCTTGTGTTTGTGTATATAGAATATTTACAGAAGATACATTTTGGTGTTACATTTGCATTTTTACTTCCTTCTTTCTAAATACAAAGTCAAGCCATTATGACTCACCTGAAGTCACTGGGACAGTCAGCGTGGGGAAGATAAATGCATACATAAGTTAGGGAAACAAAGACATCGGATGTAGTCAAGCCATACTAATGCTTTATACATTTAAGCAAGCTTTCAGAAGTTATTTACTTCAACTTGCCAGAACAGGCTGAATCTGCATTTAAATTCTTCAACATTGACATAACGTATTGCAACATCGAGAAGGAAATTTGTATGATTTTTCTGTTAATAACTAGCACAGCAGCTCTCCTGCACTATGTTCAAAGGGTCTGGCTGACTTATCTGCAACCACGTCATCCTGCTGTGATCACGGCCAGGCCAGGTCCCCCGACTGAGAAGTCTGCTGCAGTTACAGGTGGAAAGATGTCAGAGAAGTCAATTTACAGGGCTATCATAACGGCAACATATTCAGTATCAGAATGAGGAACCTACACATTCCAACACCTTCATTGCTGGCTTTGCTATTTACACAGAAACTTCTGGAGTTTTCCAACTCCTACCTTACATACTATAGTCAGTAAAACCCAGCTGAATCTTATGCTTCATTAAGCTACTAACTAAAACATAACTTAAGCACAAGCATAGCTTGTTACTATTACAACACCCACACACTCATAGAAGAGAATATGTGTAGCTCAGGTTTGAACTGTGGAGTCCTTGGGGTTCTCTGAGTTGGGTTGTTTTCTTGCAAATGTTTCGTTACCCGGCTAGTGTAAAACTTTCTCTTGTCTTCTTTATTTTAAACTTTTGGGTAAAAAAAAGAATTTTTGGAAAAAAAACAACCAAAACAAACC